TGCATTTGTGGAGAGTTCGTTTAATTTTACTTAATCAAACAACCTGTAATTTAATCGATTGATGGGAGCTAAGTAGGTTTGTAGGTGGCATTTTTGAAATGCTGGATCAAAATGAACCCGGAGGAAGCAAATTAGTTAAGTATATTTATAGTTAGTAATTATTGTACTCATAAAGTTGTACTCTGCGCACTGTTTCAGATAAACGATTCACATTTTTGAGCGTGAAGTAAAATTTCAAATCTTCGTGAATTCGAATTATTATAGAACGCTTTTATAGATTTCAGTGTTTGCGGTGTCCTTTAACGTTTATTTCGGCGCGCTCAATGGCGATGCACCAGACCGGAGCACACGGAGGTAATATCAGATTTTCTTCGCAGTTAGAACCGTAGTATGTTATTAAATATATAAATAATATATTTAATATTAATATTAATAATATAATATTAATATTAATATTAATAATATATATAATGAATATATATGTTACCTAATCTCTTTTCAGGTACATATATAATACTTTGTGAAAGCTGCGGCAGGCTTTTCAATCGTAAATATCATTTCAATAGGCATTTCATTCATTGCGGTCGCTTCAAGGAGCCATACAAATGTGAGATGTGCAAGAGAATCTATAAGTAAGAAGAGAGATGAATATTGCTGTTTTTCGGCATCCTTCCAAAATTTCGAAAATATACTGATGGCAGTTTCGTTTCAGACACAGGTCCACCTTAGTTCAACATTTGAAAACTGTTCACAAAGTTCAATACACGAGACGTCATTCGATAACATACACGTGTCACGTATGTAATAAACAATATAGCAAGTTTGGTGCTTTCGAAAATCATGTAAAACGGCATTAAAAAAGTAGTTAGTAAGATGAGTTCTGTGAAGGAATCATTTTTCTTGGTATTATCCGTTTGGTTTTTTTTGAAAATTTTAACGATAACTTTTTCTGTCTGTAGAGAATACCTGAACCAAAGACTTAAAGAGCATAACAAAGACATTAATGAATAAGTATTACCAAAGTATTAATAGAATATAGAAAACTCGATTTATGTTACTGTAATGTTCAGTTTCAGATACTTACTTACTTTTTTCCAGATATACATATAATTTTCCATGTCCACTACGTATAGATTTTGTAGATTAATATACAGGGTGTCCCAAAAATGTCTCGCAATCCGAAAGTCGCGGGTTCACTGTTTTTCGTTATTAACTCGTGCCTCGGAGATTGTTGTAAAGGAAGAAACTGCTTCAAATGATCCGAGGAACCCGCCATTTCCGGATTGCGAGACATTTTTGGGACACCCTGTATAATAAGCAGTTTTAATTCTTTTATTTTTATATACTTTATTTTCCATTATACTTTTATATTTTTATTATTATGATTATATTATATGTTTTTCTTCTTTTATATAACTTGACATGTAAACAGTATTAATGTTGCGGCTAAGAAATTTGTTATGTTATAACAAAATTTATGAAGGGGTCTCTACTGTAGAATGAGTTTTTTTATTTTTTGACATTTTTTTTTTGTTAAGGAACTATGAAGCCTTTTGCATTAGCGTTTGTCCAATGTATTCGTTTGTCTTTTAATATTAATCACAAATTTTTAGGAAGGAAAATAACAAAAATTAGTAACAATATCGAGCTTCATACGCAATCGCGTATTAAATAGATGTTCTCATGATTTTTACGATTCTGGCTGTCCTATTTGTCTGAAACAAGAAAAAACGAAAAAGATTCTGAATTTTCAGAAAAAATTGATGATTACAAAAAATAGCGCAACATTTTGAAGTTGAAATACTGATTTTATTTGAATTTCTTCTATCGATCTGCATAGAGATCAAGATGTGTTTCCATTCTTTTTTTATCCATTTACATGGTTATGTATTGCTTCGCTAATGTTAGAAAATGCCAAAAAAAGAAAAATCAATTTCTTTTGCGATTTACAGTAGAGGACCTTCTTAAACATCGCAAATATATTTTTTCTATTGTATACAGATATTTTCTATGAAGAAAGCAATACTTTCGGTTTTGCGATTGTGTACAATTTCTTTTTTTTTTAAATCACGTGTATGTTCGCGTATATAATGTTAAATAATACTTTTATGATATGAATTATCTGATATTTGAAAATCTAATGTAGTAACATAAAACGGTTTGTTATCTTAATGTAATATTAGAATAAGTGTTCATAGCGTATTCTTAGGTCTATACATTGCTAATTACAAATTACACGCCAGTTCAAACTAAAATAATATAAGTATAAAATACATGTCGCGTCTCGTACACAATTATATACTACAGACTTAAAAATAAATGAAACACAAAGATACTTTAACGTTGTCAAATTATAAATCATAGCTGTGAACGTTTAATTGTGTGACCACAAACTGGATACAGTAATTTCACCGGGATTCGCCGAACTTCAGTATTCTGGGATTTGCGCTGCGATATTGCCATGGCCCTGTAATTTATCGATTTTTTCGCTTGACGTCGATGCTAAGGTTCGACGGAGTCGATGAACGCGCGGCACCTTTGACTCGAAGGTGACATAACTTTTCCTAATTTTAACATTTTAGAACTGATTTTTTTTGGTTAACATATTGCTGATAGTTTTCCGATTAAAATGAGACTAAACATGATATAGTTTGAACAAATATTTCTGATTAAAATAAAATCAAACAAAAAACAACAATACTATTCACTTAATATTTAATGTGTAAAGTACATTGTTATACATATTAATAATAACTGTACAATAAAAAGCTGCATTGACATTATGCGTAATTAGATAAGTGAAAAAGAGATAATTAGACAAGTTCCTTTATTATTTTTTTTTAAATTATTTTCAAAAGCATCTGCTTCATCCTGATCAGCACTAGTTTTCTCTAAACGTATGCCATGACGTTTTTTAAATTTTGGAGTCATAGTAATGTATATCGGGGCATGCTGGTCGCTATCTTTTCATGTAGTTTTGTTCTCTCTCTCTCTCTCTCTCCCTCTCTCTCTCTCTCTCCCTCTCTCTCTCTCTCTCTCTCTCCCTCTCTCTCTTTCAATTCTTCGCTCCCTACCCCCTCTCTTCCTTACAGCTCCTCTCCTCTCCCTCCCCTTCCCCACTCTCCGCTCACTCTTACCCCTTCTCCAACGCTTCTCTCTCTCTCTCTCTCCCACTCCCCCCTCTCCTTCTCTCGCTCGCGAGACGTCGGTAACTATAAAGGCGATCCACGAGGCTCGAAGAAGCATGACCTTACGATTCTCGCATCTGCATGTTTCGATTCCGACTAAAAACATCTATGGTGGAAATTGCTGTAGTTCCATGCTTCGTTAGTTTAACCTTGAAATCGTATAGATAGTATTTTTATACTTAGAATTAACTATTCTATTAAATATTTTTACGCTTCCATCTGTCGAGAAACCATAGTTACCATATTATGCATTCCTTGAAATTCTACAATTTTTATTCGAAACATTTCCCGGGGGCGCAGAGTTCACGGGACATCCTGTATATGCGAACTCAATTATTTTATTCAAATGTCGTCCGTTCGCATATCTTCTAAAATAGTAACTTCGATATTTGCTGATTAATATAGATATATCGTGAGATAAAAATTTTCCATGTATTTGAGTATTTTTAATATGATTTGAAACTCGGTGCGCATAATTAATACATAACAAATACAGCGCTTCGAAAAGCATTGACCAATGAGAGGCCAGCTCGGCAGCCGCGAGGCGGCTCTCATTGGTCACCGTTTTTCGCTAATAACTCGTAAACGAAGCCTCGTAGAACATTTTCGCTAAGAAAAAAGTTACTTCAAATGACCTCAGGAATCTCACTGTTCCCAGAGGTACCATAATTTTAGGACACTCTGTACATCTATTTGCACCAAATTAATTTTTTGATTATTGCAGGAAAAAAAAGTAATCCTTATTAGAACTGCGTCATGCTTTTCGTGGCAATTTTATTTTCACGTGTCTTACAATTTCCGTTAGCGCAAAGATCTCGGTAAAATTGCCAAGAGAAAAACAACAATATGTGCCATGAAATTTCAAATCGTCAAAATATTGTTCAAGTGAAATGTTTAAATGAAATTAATAGTTCAAGTTAATTTCATAGTTATGTGATAGGTAATTACCAACTGAAGTAATTAACTCTCAGCACTGTTGGTAAAAATGATCGCATTTTTCCTTTAGAATTTGAAATCACTATAAAATACTAAAGTGTATTAGCTTTGTTTATTAGATTCGTATCTCTCTTATAAAAAATTCGACACGCATGGCGTGTCATTATGATCGGTCGACGATAAGTGTTTGTATACCATTTCATTTCCAACAGTTTCCTTTACGTTAACCATCGAACACAATGGAAACAGCAAATATTTGAATCGGTACCCCAGCGAATTAAAAAATTGGACAGTCCTAACCGAACGACGCCGCACCGTACGCAGCCGATAGCCACAGCGGTAGCAAACTCAAATATTAGTGGACCGATGCTCCACCAGTGCACTGTGGGGTATTTGAGTCCCAAAAGCGATGAAAAGCCCTTCTACCAAAGTGCAATAACAATAACATCATTTTTAGATGTGATCCAGTGAACATTTGAAGCATTATGTGTTTTTTGTTCTGCACAATCTTAATTCTTTATTTTAGAATTTTCTTATTTACTTATTTATTTATTTATTTTATTTGCATCAGCTTTGGAGCTATTAGCCACCACTGCTATGTTACATTACGTTACGTTACGTTACATTACCTTGCATTACGATTCTTACATTACGTTACATTACATTACGTTGCATTACATTACATCGCATTACATTACATTTACATTACATCGCATTACATTACATTACATTACATTACATCGCATTACATTACGTTGCATTACATTACATTATGTTACATTACATTACAGTATATAACACTATGTTATATTATATTACACACACGGAC